GGGGGTGAGCCGTGTTCGATTTGTGAGGTCTTATCCTTGCACAAAGCGCATGCTAATTAATCTTCTTCTCTGTATCGTTGCAATACTCAATGGATGTCCGGAAGGACCAAGCGTGGGCCAATTATTGCCTGCTGTCATTACCTTTCCTTTCTTCCTTCTTTGTCCCCGAACGATGTTTACTTGTTATCTTTCTGCTGCCGGCGAGAGCAATTGCAAAACGGTGCTGGAGTTGGTGAAGTCTTGGTGAAGTTTCAAAGAGGTTTCAGAGGTGGCATCGTTGGTGAAGTCTTGGTGAAGTTTCAAAGAAGTTTCAAAGAAGTTTCATAGAAGTTCAAAAGAAGTTTCAAAGAAGTTTCAAAGAAGTTTCAAAGACTTCACCCTTAGTGCTACAATGCAGGGCCTTTCTCGCTTCTGATCTCCAACAGCATATATGCCACCATCTCCGAAACTTCACGTGTCTTATCCTCGAAAGTTCACATGCTATACATTGGCAGTTTGCAGTGTGGGAAACGTATGCACCTGGCACGATTGGTGGCCCGATTCATCAGTCAGTACGCAGATGGCTTTTAGAGGGAGGGAGAAAGCAAGGGAGGAGGGGAGTGGAAGGGAGGAGGGGAGAGGAAGGGAGGAGGGGAGAGGAGGGGAAGGGTGGGAGGCCTCTCCTCTCCTCTCCTCCGGGTTTTTGTTCCTCCTCTCCTTTTAGTGTCTTCTTTTTCTGTTATTGCTCCTTTTCACCCCATCGTGTTTCTCTTCGTTCCTTGTCCCCTTCCCCTCTTGTTTCCTCCTCTTCCTTCACTCCTCTTCTCTCTCCTGGATACCCTTCCTCTGCCTACCATTCTCCCTCCTCTCCCTCCCTCCTCTCTGTAGTAATTCTTTGCTACAACTCTTTTATGTCTTCCTTTTCCTATCCCCCCTCTCCCCCACCTGCCATCACCATGACCCTCAAAAGTCAAATTTGAAATTTGTCCTTTTCGGACGTCTCTGAAGCAGTTTCTGTCTTCAAAAGGGCTTATCGCGTTCTTCTTTCGAATGGAAGCTATGGTCATTACAGCTGTATTTGCCCCGAAAGTTGCCCTAGATTCGCAGCTTTAATAACCATCGTTATTCCGTCCTGTCTATGACCATAGCTAATCAGTCCAACCGGTCCCCGAGTCCCCCATTTGGGACTCAGGGACGGGTTGGACTGTCTAGATTCGCAAGATGGGATTCAGTTTGTGTGTGGGTCAAAATCTTGTCCCCCCCCAAGCTAATCAGTCCAACTGGTCCCGGAGTCCCAAATGGGCTAACGACGTTCCACCTACCCCC